GGAGCGGGCTGCATTACGGACAACGCACAGTTAACTCCCATTGCCGAAAGCTATTCCGATGAAATCTCTTTTGGAGGCTGGGAGACGGCGCTAAAGCTGAGGTGGTTGTGGCATGTGCGCTCCTCCTGGCACAATGATTGCTCAGTAACTGAAAAATTCGAGACCAGCTTAGCCCAAAGAGACTGAGTTGTATATAAACGTACCAAGTCATCGTAGAGTGGCCTTCCGTGAAAAGAACAGAGGCCATTCCTAAAGGTCACTTGGGTCCTGTTTATCGCCATACATGTAGGAGCCCCCATCATGGAGCAAGACCCCCCTGTGCAAGGCGCTGTACAAGCCCCAGAACAAAAAGACAGTCCCTGCCCAAAGACCTTGCAAGCTTAGTATAAGACAAAAGCCAGCAGGTGGATACAACTGGAGCACAAGGAAACAAGCAAGGAAAGGACCCACAGAGAATCTCCACCCTGGGGTTGCTTTGCAGGAGGCTGCAGAACTGGGCATGCCCTTTGGTACCAGTAGGAATGGGCTCCGCGCTTTGCCACTGCGCACTTGGCCCCTGATATTTTATTTTAATTTAGCAAATTGCCAGAGTAAGAGTAAGCAAATCCATTCTTTATACGTCAGCGAGGGACTGGCGCATAGAATCATAGAATCTCAGGGTTGGAAGGGATCTCAGGAGGTCATCTAGTCCAATCCCCTGCTCAAAGCAGGGCCAATCCCCAACTAAATCAGTGCACACTGTACCCTCATGGCTATTCGTTTCTTTGCAGTATGATCACCTGGACTCTGACTGGCTGGGCATGCCCCCTCTGCCTTCCCCCCGCTGCCTCTTTGGCCTGGGAGATGCAGAAAACTCCATTTTCGTGGTAGGAGGGAAAGAACTGAAAGAAGGAGAACAGACCTTGGACTCCGTCATGTGCTACGACCGACTGTAAGTGCCTGGGAAGCAAAGCAGCTGGGCTGGGGTGTAAGAATGAATCATTCTGTACAGGGACCTAACAATTGAAGTAACATCTAGAGACAGTCTCCGAACGCTAGATCCAGTCACCCCAGCAACTGGAATTGTCCCAAATCCAAATCCCTCCCTTGTGGCTCTGATCCATCTCCGGTACCATCTATTGGGTTTATTGCAATTGAAACCTCCAAGGAAAAGGGGATTGACGCCATTAAGGGGCAGCCAATCAACACTAATTTTATCAAGGGCCAGACTGTGCTCACACAGGAACTTCCCGGAGAGCTCAGAAGGCAGGATATAGCCCTTAATGTTTCGGGCGCCGGGGCAGTCTCATAGGTGTTACAGCCCTAAGAGGACAGCCGTCAGCAAACAAGCCCCTGGTAGATGGCCATGGGCAACAAAACTGGGCTCTGGTCACAACCGCAGTTTAGGATGATGCCGAAAAAGGGATTCAGAGTCTCTCAAACCCGGACCACTCAAGGGTCTAGATTCTCCAAGGTTTTGTGGCGGAAACTCAGAGGATCAGGCCCACTGAGAATTTGTTGGCCTCTTTTTACAACCAAACTTGAAATGAAACGTTTTCTGGAGGACTGCAGCCCCTGCCCCCAATACACCCCATAGTGTGCTATCCTGTGCCACCCAGCTGTCGAGCATCATGTGCTCAGAAGCATGAACATCAATTGGCCTTGCAATCTCAATCCCAGCGAGCGTAGCTGTGGACAAGAAGAAGTGATGCAAGTGACTGCTTAGGGCCTCAGGTGTTATGGCGCCGTGCACTGATCTGGCACCAAAAGGACCAGCCTGATTTCCCTCCCCTCTGGCAATGAGACCAGAAAGGGAGAGCCCACGCTACCAAATTCTCCTTCGTCTCTGGGAGCAGAGAAGGTGGCGTCATACCAGTCATTTCCCTGTAAAGCTAGTTGCCTTATTACTATCATGCAGCAGTGAATTCCCAGGGTTAATTATACATTGCGTAAAGTATTTCCCTTTCTCTGTTTCGAGGTATTTGCATTCCAGTTTGGTTGAGAACCATGCTGCACGGTTCGAAAAATTAAAGCATACACCCACCCCTCCGGCTCTTATATTTTCCATAATCCAGTCATCCAGTGCAACCCATTATGGACTCAGCTGTTAATGAGCAAGAAGCAATGAGTCGTCTGGGAAGATGGAGGTTCACCCACTTCCATCCAAGACTAGGATAGCACATAAAAGATATGGTCTAGGTCAAACAAGAATTATTTGGGGGAAGTTCTATGGCCTGTATTATACAAGAGATCAGACCAGATGATTACAATGGTCCCTTTGGGCTTTATCATCTGTGAATCATAACATCTCCATTCCCAATACTTAACTTTAATCTACCCTGCAGAAAGCCACATGTCCCATGATCTTCTCAATGGAAAAAAGCATCAAACTGTCTTTTCCCACTAATCTAGCAACCACTCCTGGAAATACAGGAGCTGCCCAGCTTCCCCACAGTGGTTAAGACTAATCTTAGCATATGTTTTGTATCGTGCACTATGAACTGCCTGAAGTATTAAATCTCACTGAAAGGCAAACAGAAATGCCAAACAATCCTTCCCCGTCTGCCTGCAATAAGCTGGAATAGCTAGTGAGCTGGAGTCTTTTGCTCAGTTTATATTTAGACATGTCTGCACTGTTTTATTTAGGCATGTCTGTTTCATAGGCAGAGATTTCAAACCAATTCCCATTCCTATCAACCATGGAGTTTCTCTAAAACTCTCTTGGGGAGGAGGCTCTCTTTGCTAAGTGGCCTGAAGTGCATGTAGTTGAAAAAGACGATAACCAGGAAGAGCTTTCAGGTCCTCTTCTATGCAACTGGGTTTCAAAGTGACCAGCACAATAATCATACACGGCCCCTCTTTATTGACAGCTGAAATTTCAGCAAACAGTCTTATCTATTGATAGATGGATTATTCCTGCTTGAATTAGGGGTTAGACTTGGTAGCTCTAAGGTCAATTCAATCCAGAACTTTTTGGTTTCTATGGAAGTGCCTTCCACTGGTCTTCAGTCTGTGGAAAGAGACATTTGTCGGTGTGTGTGAGGGACTGTTTGGAGTGGTGTGTGCAGTGTTTGTATAGCATGGTCGAGTGGCTACAGGATGGAGTCAAGAGATCTCCATTCTAATCAGGGCTCTGACTGTGACCTGCTCTGGAAATGCAGGCGTGACACTTAGGTCCAGATTTTCAAATGCGGCCTCGAATTTTAGGTGCCGCCATATTTGGGTGCCCAACGTTAGAAAACGAAAGCCTGATTTTAAGAAGTGCCGAACACCCAACACCCCAACTGAGTGTCACACTCAGTTACTCCCAAATTAGTGGTAACTTCTGAAAATGTGACCCTTAACCTCTCTATACATCAGTGCCTCCCCCTCTGTAAAGCCAGGATAATGCAGGTCTTACAGCGGTCTCAATCAATGAATGTTTGTAAAGTGTTTGAGATCCTGGGATAGAAGGTGCTGTATAAACATGAAGCCAAATACAACAAGCTAAGCGGCCGAGAGGATGCTATAGAAAAGAACGGACATTATAGCAAGTATCCCGTATGTCGTTTCTTTTTCTTAGTGGTCAACTATGAATTTGTTAATGAGTTTTTAGACTCCATGCACTTTGGGCAGGAACTCCATCCATCCACCTACGGGGTTGGAAAGCACCTCGTGCCTTCTGGATGCTACCCCCCATCTAAACAATATAATACCTTTGCTTTCCGTAATCCTTATACAGGTCATTTAAATGGGGCGAGTCAGATCCGCTCCCCTATGCGGTCTATGGCCATGCTGTGGTATCAGACAAGGATCTAATCTACGTCATAGGAGGCAAAAGAAGTGACAAGTAAGTGAAAGAACAAGGGATATAAAAGGTGTGGGAGGGGCAAAACATCTCTGATGGCACATGGGTTGGGCTGTTTCCACATCCTAGGTCATGTCTAGAAGAAGGAAGTCGCGGAGGGAGCTCTGTTGGGTACATAAGTAGCGTTCTAGGGTAACCAGCAGATTAAGGAGTGGAGGGGAACAGATGGATCAAATGGGGCTGGGGGGGCTAAGACGTGGAACCTTTCACTTCCAGGCTTCTGGTCTGAGTCCAGCCTTGATTGTGTTGCTAAAGTTTCTCTCAGGGCTCTTGGGCCCCCTGTCTAACTCCATTGAGACGAATGGGACATCTGCACGAGGATCAAGGACAATATAAGGCCACAAGACAGAAAGCATATCCTCCTCCTTCCCCATATAAACAAGCATAACAAATAGCAGGAGAGGACAGAAGAGACATGAGAATCCCCTTAGCAGGGAAGCTGCCTGGCATCAAACCAAGGAGCTCTGCCCGGGAGAAGGCTGGTCTGGCACAGCAAGGCCCAGCTGTCACAACCGCAGCAGTAGTCAACAACCTCACCAAACATTCCCTCAGGCCCAGCTGCCACTTATTATCTGCAGGGAACAAGGCCTCAGCATAACCTGCTGCCTTCAATGAAAATTCCAGCCATTGTAAAACAGCAAAAATAAATATTGACAAAATAAGCCTGGCCTACCACAGCAAAGATAGGCCCTGCGCCAAAGAGATTACAGGCTGGAAAGAGGGTATATACACAGCCAGATACCTCCTAGATTGGAAGCTCTTTGGGGCCGGGACTCTTTTTATTAATTTCTGGTACAGCATCAAATTTCATCATCAGTACTTAGCAAATAAGACCTGCTGCCGGGTGCATGCATGCAGATCCCTGATTTGCATATAGCTAGACAGACACATAGCTAGCAATGATGGGTTTGGGCCCTTTGGGGTGTCACCTGATGTGCTGGGGTGCCACTCAGTCAGCCTATTCTGCCAGCCGGGGTCCCCTTTATCTGGGCAAGGCTCACAAGCCTCTTCCAGCCAAGCACACAGGCAGGGCCATGCCCAGCTGCACAGAGAGACAGCGATCGGCTCTGGAAAGATTCAGCCTTAGGGGCTTGCCCCAACACTCTGGTGCTCACTCCCTTTCAGGGGTACAAACCCAATGGTTTTATGAAATTCGCCCCCTCCCTCAATGTGGAGGGAGATATGCACAACTTCTTGCCTCCCCCCCAGTTAAAAATTACATCAACTGGTTATATTATAAACAAGAAATAAGTTTATTAACTACAAAAGGTGAATTTTAAGTGACTAGTAGAGATAACAGAAAGAACAAAGCAGATTACTGAGCAAATAAACCAAAGCACGCAAACTAAGCTCAATATACTTAAGAAACAGGTTATAAAATGTAATTTCTTACCCTAAATGTTATTTTAGGCAGGTTGCAAAGTTTCTGGGGTTCAGAGTTCCAGTTCTATTTCTTTTCAGACTGGACCCCTGTCTCAGTCTGGACTCCCCACTTGTCTTCCCTTCAGGTGGCTTTAGCAGTCTTTCTTCCTGGGCAGACAGGCCATGGAGAGAAGGAGTCCCATTTGCCTTCCTCCCCACCCTTAAATAGGATTTACATGAGGTGGGAATCCTTTTTTTCCCAAAATTGACCCCCCCCCCTTCCCTTCCAGTGGAAAGTTACAAGAAGTCCCAGGTAATGTTTAGTATCACGTGACAAGACCACCTGACTGTAGAATCAGAGCATCCATGAGTCAGTGGCAGTATGGAGCGTCCACAGGAAGGCCAAGCCTTTTCAGTCCATTGTCCTCTCTGATGGGCCATCAGCCCTGTCTGGCTTTTCCATGGTTGTACCTGAAGTGTTAGCAGTGGGCGTCACCCAAAGTAGCATAGTTGAAATACAGACACAGAGTCAATATTCCTAATTTCAGATATAGAAATGATACAGGCATATACATTGGATAATCCCATTCAGTAAATTATAACCTTTCTAATGATATCTTGCAAGATCCATCTTGCATAAAGTACATCTCAGTTATGTCATATTCATATCATAAGCATATTTTCATAAAGAATATGGAGTGAAATGTCACATACACAACACCAGGGTGCAGAGGCGCTGATGCCATGGGTGCTCCGGGGCTGGAGCACCACGGGGAAAAATTAGCGGGTGCTCTGCACCCACCGGCAGCCAAGCTCCACCCTCCTCGCCTCCCGCCCCTGAGTGCGCTGCGTCCCCACTCCTTCCCCTCCCTCCCAGCGCTTCCCACCACCCCCGCTGCCTAACAGCTGTTTGGCGACGCTTAGGACTTTCTGGGAGGGAGGGGGAAGAGCGGGCACGCGGCAAACTCAGAGGAGGAGGCGGAGAAGAGGCGGGGCAGGGGCAGGGACTTGGGGGAAGGGGGTGGAATGGGGGTTGGGACTTTGGGGAAGGGGTGGAATGAGGGCAGGGCGAGGGCAGTGCAGGGGTGGGAAGAGGCGGTGCAGGGGCGGGTCGAGCACTCACCGGACAGAGGGGAAGTTGGGGCCTATGCCAGTTGTGTACATCGTCAATAGCGTGTACTCAAGAAAGGTGCCTGTTGTACAAAGGAAAGACATCTATTGATGTGGGCTCAACAGTAAAATGCACTGGCCCCCATTTCAAGTGTAGCAGCAGAGTCTGTAAGTTACAATCAGCTGCCGACTTAGATCGATACTCCAGAATCCCTCGGCACCATGGAACAATTCCACGTAATAATTCAGTGAGGTTGCTTTTCCCTCTTGCCCTTTTTCAGGAAGTGCCTGAACAAGATGTGCGTCTACAACCCGAAGAAGTTTGAGTGGAAGGATCTGGCTCCCATGAAAACCGCCCGTTCTCTGTTCGGAGCAACCGTACACAATGGCAAGATCTATGTGGCAACTGGCGTGACCGACTCTGGCTTGACTGACTCGGTGGAAGCGTATGACATTGCAGCTAACAAGTACGTACCATGGCTCATCCTCGGGAGGAAAATGCTATAGCAGGGGTGGCCAACCTGTGGCTCCAGAGCCACACGCGGCTCTTCAGAGGTTAATATGCGGCTCCTTGTATAGGCACCAACTCCGGGGCTGGAGCTACAGGTGCCAACTTTCCAGTGTGCTACATGGGGCTCACTGCTCAACCCCTGGCTCTGCCCCAGGCCCCAGCCCCACTCCACTCCTTCCCCAAGTCCCCACCCCCTTCCCCTGAGTCTGCCGCACTCTTGCTCCCTCCTCCCCCGAGCCTCCTGCACACCACAAAACTGCTGATCCCAGCAGGCGGGAGGCTCAGGGATGGAGGGTTAGGTGCTGATCGACGGTGCTGCTGGCGGGTGGGAGACACTGGGGGTGGGGCGGAGCTGATGGAGGGCTGTTGATGTGTTACTGGGGCTCTTTGGCAATGTTCTGGCGCCTTCTCAGGCTCAGGTTGGCCACCCCTGTGCTATAGGGAGCAGCTGCAGGAATGTATGAAACAACCTGCCCCCAATCAGCCAACGATTTGGAGCTGTCTTGGCTCCATCCGTCCAGCTCCCTGTGCAACTGATGCACCTCTTCACCTGGTGTTAGTTATTGCCAATTGCCAGTGCTGGGCCAGGGGCATTTGTCTAGCGCCAGAGGCTTGCTGCAGTATCAATAGCTTGAATGCACAGAGAGCCTGGAGAGTGGGATCACTCAACCAGGACAGAGGCAGAAGGTCTGAGCTGTTGCATCCCCAGGCATTGGGATGGGGTAGCCTCCCTGTCCAGATATCCAGATATATCGCAACTTCCAGGGGCGACTCTCACTTCTCAGCCTGGCGAGGGTGTGAATGAAACTCAGCTGGGAGGGGAGATTTCGGACTCCTTCCTGCTCATTAACAGCTTGATCCCCACTGGCTTCAACGGGCTTGAGATCAACTGCTGAGAGCGCACCGGGCACAGGCCATGTAGCTCTAGGAACTCAGAAGGGAAGGAATCCTGCCAAGGGCTGTAGTAGCCCTCACACTGACTGCACTGCCCCTGCATGGTTCTGTGTAGTCTTAGATCCACCCCGTTGCCCTACCCCAAAAACCCGTGGTGAGTCTGGTGCTCTGTAGTATGCAAGGTGGTGCAAACTCTCCCCTCCTACACACACTCAGCATAAGCCCACCAGTCACGTTGTGTAATGCATGACTGGTAGGCACTCAGATGCCCCAGTGAGGAGTGCAGCATAAGAACCTATACAGATAAGAATAGGATCGATTGTTTCTGGTGATATCCAGTGTCTTCTGCATCTCCCGAGGGGAGTTCCAGGTGCTCAGCATTCCTGAACATCAGGCTGTGGAAACTGGGCACCCCAAACTGGAGGCTGCTTTTGAAAAAACTAGACCTAAGCAACTTGCCTGAGGGCCACACAAGCCGGCGAGTCACACTACTGGTATTAGCTCTCAGAACTCACCAGATTCCAGGCCCACATCCATGCTGAGATAGCTGCCCTGATAGAGGGCGCCCAGAACACTTTGCTAACAAGTCTAACCTTTCTGCCCGGCAGGTGGGAGCCCTTCACTGAATTCCCCCAGGAGCGCAGCTCGGTCAGCCTGGTGAGTCTGGCTGGCAGTCTGTATTTACTTGGTGGATTTGCCACAGTGGAGACAGAGTCAGGAGAACTGGTGCCAACCGAGCTCAATGACGTTTGGAGGTAAGAGACGTCGCCATTGTGAGTGAAGGGCATGGCTGGAGGCTGAGTTCTTCTGGAGTTTTAACCAGAGGCGGTTTAAAATCCATTCTCTTGCCTTGGTTTTATTGCTGTCCACTGATCGCTCACTTCTCCCCCGTGATTTTAAAAAGATTTAAAAAATGAAGAGGGGACAGAAATGAGGGCCACAAAAATGGTTCAGAGGCTGGCGAGAATGCCTGACAGTGAGCGATTTAAGGAGCTCAGTCGGTTTAGCTTATAGAAAAGAAGACTGAGAAATGACAATCACAGTGTATCACTTTCCTGGGGAGAAAATACCAGGTCCTGAAGGGCTCTTTAATCGAGCAGAGAAAGACAGAATAAGAGCCAATGGCTGGAAGTTAAAGCCAGACAAATTCAAACTGGAAATAAGGTAACCTTTTTTTTTTTTAACAGTGCGGGTGATTAACCACTGGAACAAACTAGCAAGGGAATTGGTGGATTCTCCATCTCTTGATGTCTTCATATAAAGACTGAGTGCGTTTCTGGAAGATACGCTTTAGCCAAACATAGGTTATTGGGCTCAAAACTGGGGTAACTGGGTGAAAGTATATGGCCTGTGTTAGACAGGGGGTCAGACTAGTTGATCATAAAGGTCTCTTCTGGCCTCGAAGTCTATGAAACTGGAAATTTTAAATCACCCTTTAACCAAGGCCTTGTCTGCACTGGAGAAATTTTGCACATTTCCTGCTAGTGCTAACTTTGGGGTTGAGCCTCACTGGTATGTGCTTAGTCTTGGTGCCAAAAGGCAACTCAGTGTTCCAAGCGCCATGCTGACCAAATCTGCTTTGAACCAAGACAAAATACGAGACCACTTCCCAAGCAGGTTGACTGTCAAAACCTAACCAACTTGGGAGGAGAGGGATCTATGGGATGAGATCCTCAGCTGTGTAAATTCTCTGAGCTCCACTGACTTCATTTGAGCTATGGCATTTTACACCAGCTGAAGATCTGTCTCTATCACTTCTCTGGCATGGGATCATAGCAAAGCTAGGTGTGTATTTACCAAGCGATGGTGGTTGTTTAAGTCCAGTCCCCAGTGGAAAAATACCTACTTCCCCAAGACCTCTCTAACTGGCACCCTCGTCAGCAGTCTCAGCAGAGAGACCACTGCCATTCAGTCCTTGGGAAGTGACCTATCCCTCCTCACTAAATGTGGGGAAATGTGCTAGTTGATGCCTGTACTGTAGCAGTTCTGTGGAGTGGACTTAAGCCTCCAGAACTGTCAGTCTGGCATTTTTCATTAGCTCTAAGAGCCAAATTCAAAGTCTGTTGACTTCAATGGACTTTAGATAAGGCCTAAGTCCATATTCAAATGACAGAAACTGACCAAACAAGTCCTACCTACCAATCTTGGGAGCTGCCATGATATATGGAATCATAGTCCTTAAACAAGAGGCATGTATTAAAGAAAACAAACTACAGCTACTGACACAATCAAACAGGTCTCCACACAGCTTGAGTTCCACTTCTGTTTCTCTTGTTTACCAGACACCACATCCTAGCTGGAACTCTACACACAGAGACATCTAGTGGCTGAATAACATGCTGCAAGTAAACACATCACTAGAGCAGCACTGAATCTGACTATTTGTCATAGCCAGAGCTGGGATAGGGAACACAGTTGGTGAGAATAAAGTTCTTTGCTGACCGTAATATTTTGTCTCCCTCCCTTCAGGTATGATGAAGAAGGGAAAAAGTGGGAAGGTGTCCTCAGAGAGATCCAGTATGCCTCAGGCGCCACCTTCGTTCCTGTGCGCATGAATGTTTTACGGTTAACAAAAATGTAAATGACGCGATGATTTATGTTGTTCCTGGGTTTTTCTAAGTTCACATTTATTGATATAAATGGGGTGGGGAGGGATTGTATTGGTTAAGCCAGAGAAACATATCTGTGATTTGTTGCCATTTTACTTCACCCAGCAGGGAAAGAGGAAGGGAAAGAATTAGAATGGATCCTTATAGGAGCTTAAAAGCTAAAGCACTACTTAGAATCCAGATCTGGAGACCGCCAGGAGCTGTGGTGGCCTGAGCACGGGACTCATTCTATCTCTAGGAGCAGATTTGTTTCCCTCTTCCTTGTCAGGAAAGGAACAGTAACCACATTTTTCCTTCAGGGCAGAATCCTTTGTTTTCCAGGAATTCACATCCTCCCCTTCCCCATTTTCTCCCTCCATCCAACAAGGCCCTTCATCATCTCAACCACTCTTCTGACTGGGGAAGGCTGGAGGCTGATCCCAAAAGAACGAAGCAAGCCAGAATGGCACAAAGGTCACTCAAACTCAGCTCCTCCCCACACCCGGTAGCCAGCCTTACCACATGGGGGTCAGTTGTCTGCAGCAAGGGAAGCAGATCTGTGCTGTAGGCATTTGGAGCTGGTCTGAAGCATGTAGCGCTAAGCAAGGTGAGAAGCCTTGGCCATTTTTTTGAGCGGAACTCACGCTAGAAAGAAAAGAGTAAGTGTGGGAGTGGGTAGGGGGATTTCGCAGGCTGGATCAGCAAACAGTGCGCTAGAAAGATAAGGCTAAAAGGAGTGAGCACTGAAGAACAGGTACAATCAGACCAGACCATGATGATAGATGTCTCAGACAGACACACACCCTCGGACTGACCTCCACACCTGCCTTTTGAGTTTTGTTTCCTTGGCCTCAATTAATCTTTACATTCAGGTGCTTTCTGTTCCCTTCGAGCAACTGTTACAAAGGCAGAAGGGGGGACATGCCTTCTTCATGTCATCAGGTATTAGCTCTCCTTCCCACTAAGTAGAGGACCTACACTTCCCTTCATCTTTCTCTGATTCCTAATGTAATTAAAGAACCTCTTATTGTCTTTTATGTCCCTTGCTAGGTGTAACTCATTTTGTGTCGTAGCTTTTCTGATTTTGTCCTTACCTGATTGTGCTATTCTTTTGTACTTCTCCTTAGCCATTCATCCATGTTTCCACTTTTGGTAGGATTCCTTTTTGATGTTCTGGTCATTAAAGACCTCCTGATGGAGCCATATTGGCTTTTTACAATTCTTCCTGTCTTTCTTTTGCATCAATGGGTTAAAAAGTAAAGATAAAGATCTATAACAAACTGATATATCTATTTGCTTAAGAGCAGTACTTTGATGCCTGCTCCAAGGAGGTGAGGGCTGCAGCATGGGAGAAATCCTCTTTTTGTGCTAGCAGCTGCAGAAGCAGTTGATTTGTCCCTATAGTCCTGGTAGTTTTATTTCTGTTCAGTTTGATTCATTACCTGGAGTCTGCATCCCCCCACTTCTTCACAATAACAGAATCAACAAGTGCAGTGATCGCACACAGAGTTTTGAAAGGCTTTGTTGCCTCAAATTTCATTTTTCATAGGGTTGTTTTTATATTTACAATGTCACGGAAATTTGTAATGTCCTTTCCTTGTTTTTTCTTAAATCATAGTTTGCAAAATAGATCAGTAAACCTCAAGATCTCATCAGCTTTTGAATCAGTGGGCGCGTCCTACCAATGAAATGTGCATTTTTTAGGCGCCAATAACAATTTTTGATAGAGAGAAACACAACTGTACTTCTAGTAGACACAAATCTTTGTTGAAGTGAAAGTCTAAGGATTCCTATGTTACCTGACCAGTGTTTTATTTTACAATAAAAAAAAGTGAGACACACAGTGTGTTTATGAGTGTGTGTGTGTGTGTGTGTGTGACAGAGAGAGATGACCATTCCATAGCAACTAAACCTTAGAATCAAATTGCAGCTGCATTGAGCAGGTTTGGAAACTAGTTGTCATGAGCACAGCAAACCTGGGTGCTAGGCAACCCAGCAAGCTCAGCTGGTCCCCCTGAGCCTTCTCCAAATGGTCCTGCTTCCTAATTGGGCGCAGGAGCCAGCAGCCCGCTACTTGAGTCTGGCAGCTTCAGTGGCTGCTCAACGTGTGCCATGCCTGCTCCAGTGCTTGCCCTGTTTTTGCCTCCGCTTCCTGCTCCAGCCCTGTTCCTGCCTTGCCCGTCTAAACTGTTCGAATCGGGCCCCGCACTTCCTAAAGCTGGCCCTGCACATCCGTGTTGCAAAATTGTATTGGGGGCCAGGTAGGAAAGGCTGTGCCTCCCAAAACAGCCTGTCCCCCCCTCATCTGACCCCCACCCATGTCCTGCCCCCCTCAGAACCCACAAGGGCCGCAAGTAGGGTGACCAGACAGCAAGTGCGAAAAATCGGGACAGGCGGTGGGGGGTAATAGGAGCCTATATGAGAAAAAGACCCAAAAATCGGGACTGTCCCTATAAAATCGG